CGCCGAGCCCTGAGGGTGGGTGCTTAGCGGGGCACCGGCTGAATTCGCGGAGGCAGTATTGCCCGTTTAGCATTTCATTCGCTTGAGCCCTTTTTTAAAATAAGCCATTCTGTTAAAAACTGATAGAAGGCAACAGCAATGAATGTTGTTGTCATTTTAAAAGTCTTGTTTACTTAAGTCTTAATGCTTAGTACATTTTATGATTAATTCAAACCAAACACCAAATTTTTTGTTTTGTGAGGCTTGACAGAAAAACAAAGCTAGCGGTCATTGTTACTTTTGCTGAGGACCTATTGGGATGTATTAGTTTAGGTGTTTTATAAATAAGCTGACAGTGCTCAAAAGTTTAATGTAGCTGCAACTAAAAATTAAGAAATGCTCTATAACATCAAATTACCATAGTAATGCCTACCCCAATGTAGTAACCCTTTAATAATATTTGGCTCTACAAAACCTGTGACAGCACTGTGTGTCCCAGATCCGGAACTTCATCACGCTGTCCTTTGGACTGCATTCCAAACCAAGAGCTGAGGCTGCCTTTGCTCCCAGATGAGAGAGTGAGTGGCAGAGTGCAATATAGGTCTAAGGAGGAACCCCTGAAAGAAATACATGAGAGAGTTATGTCTGATAATGCTGAGAGTGCCAAAGAGGACTGGGACTTGAATATCTGATGAGAGTAGAGAATGATGCCTTTTCTGTGTAAAAAACTTCCCTTCAAGCTCCAACAGAAGTGTGTGTCCACAGCTCAAAGGGCACCAAAAACTTTTCATTCTTCCCCAGAATGTCCAGGCTGTAATGAAAAACCATCACAAGAGTGCCTCACAAGTACCCCACAGAGGCTGAAGGAAGCATCTGACAGGCAGATGTCTCTCTCTGGTAGTTCCACTCTTCATTACACAATGCAGCAGATGCAACCAGCGGAATTTACTTAGTAGGAAAATTAAATATATACAAATATGTATATAATGTAATTCATCGATCTGGGTTTTCATTTTTCACATCTATCTGAAATTATGTATAGGCCAAGCAGAAAAGGCACATTAATATACACTTCCACAAAAGTTTTAATATTGTGGGCATTTAATGTTTTTTGTGCTGTCTTGAGTGAGAAGTCTGTACATGCTCTATGTATAAACAACAGAAGTAAACTCTCTCACTGTGCTATTACTCAGAACACACAGGTTAGGAATCTTCTTTTCTTCAATGACAACATTGAGATCCTGAAGTGAGGGTACATGGGACGCATGGTCTGAATAATACTGCCCTGTACTGCAAGCTTTTTAACAATAGAGTTCTTTAGAAATTAATACAATTAAATGTCAACAACAATTGGATGTCTATTGCACAGAGTTTAAATATTGAATGAGAAAAATGGTTTAAAGTTTATCTCACTGGCAAATACATTCTCATCCCTAATAAAGTGACAGAAATGAGTTATATATCCAATTAAAGAGTAAGTAGAGGCAGAATCCTACTAAAACCCAGTCCTGCCAAAACAGATCCTGCAAAGCTAGGTTTCATTTTAAAACTGAGCAAAGAGAGTGTACTATTAGTTTGAGAGGTTTTTTTCATTTATTTGTTTGTATTTCAGAAGTGGAACTTCAGATGTACCTGAAATGGACCATAATACAAGATTTGTGAGTTTCTGTGAGAAAGTTGACCCATGTGACTGGGAGGGAATGATTTCCCCAAAGCAAACAAAGCCCTTATGTTGGTCAAATCTTTTCCTAACAAAGGATAAAATAATTGATGTCATAAAGTATGAATGAATTAGTTGAATATGAGGAAATGAAAATTTATTTTATTTGCTAAATATAAATATCTCACAAATGTGAATGCATATTCAAGTCTTTACCTTGCAGTTACATAAGTGAAATCCTTCAACTGTTTCCTGAATCATGTCTTTCCTTCTTTTTCAAGGATTTTAGTGTTTTGTAGCTGTGCTCTGGCATCTAGATTGTGTTTTGACAGTTTGCTCTGTGTTTGTGCAGAACTGGCAGCATTTTTCAAACAAGAAGATACTTTATTTCTCCTGAACACTGCAGCTTAGCTTTTAACATTTAAGATAGTGTTTCTCTTAGAATGAGGATAGTGAAAGGCATGATGAGTAGTAAACATCACCATCCATCCAGCCAGGGCATTTTTAAGTAATCTGCAAGTAGCAGCACAAGCAGAAAGATGTTCTGGGAAGAGAGTAATTGCATAGATAGACACTTGAATCACAGTAGTTCTAATGGTTGTTTTCAAGGTCTGAGCAGTTAAGAAGCATCACTGTTAGGACTAGAATTCAACGTCAGTTGTCAAGGTAGGACTAAAAGTGATTGTAGGCCTGGTTTCTGCCTGCATTTTCCTTAATGAAGCTATCTGGACATGTTTTTTTTTCTACATTTATTTTTTTCTATTCCTGTTGCTAAGACAAGTGCTTAAAATTGTTCCCATCGTATTTCTAAACCTAAATGACACCATTCAAACTATTATTACAATGTTTTATTGAATTTCCTTGGACGCAACTGAGGGATCTGTTGAAAAACAGTGTCATTCTGACATCTTCCATGAACTTGAATGTGAAAAATCCATGGAGATTTCAGTATGCTGTTTTTTATGTCTTTAGAGGAAAAGACATGAATAAGAAAGGAAGTCATGTTTCCCAATATATTTGAAATATGAAAACAAACACTATTGTGACATTTATCAGTTATACACTTTATGCTTTCATATTCTAGTAGACTATACACAGTGATATCAGAGATTATAGACAGTATAAGAACAGTGCACTATTAATTAATAATAGGACACAGTAAATTTGAAAAATATATTTCTGAAAACATTTTTTCTTAAATTTCAGGTTGTTTTATGTAGGTAATTGAAGAGCATTTTGCATGTAACCAATTTCAGTTTTCATCAGTATAATCAGCTACTTAGATCTTCCTTGAGATTCTTGTGACTTATTTTTTATATAAAATAATAAACAAGTGAAAGAACACCCTGGAAATACTGTTTCAAAAGTGTGTACAAATAGAACCTGAAAGGGAGTTATTATAGTGCCCTGATGGTTTCAACTTCCATACCCTCTTCCCTTGCTTATCACCGTGCAGTTTACCTTTCACCCAACTGTATATTTACTAGCTGAGGCTGGAGACAGTTCACAGTGACAAGTTCCTCATTACAGCTCTAAATGTGGTCTCCAGGTAGCATGAGATTATAAAATTTATGGAAATCTGTTTACACGTTCAGAGGTATAGTATAATTGGATTAACAAAAATGCTCGTTTTCTTCTTATCTCGTAACCTGTGGTGGGGTCAGAGAAACTCTTCAGAAGATCCTTTGTTCTACTTATGACACTCTTCCCTGTTTTGAGCCAAGAGGTGATGGGAATTCCATCAGTGTTGATTTAGCCTTTTTGTTAGCACTGGTCAGAACAGCATTTACTACTCCTTCATAAGATGTAAGTACAGGTATACAGCTGGTCAACTCCAGCTCAGGTCTGCACCAGTCCTTCTCCTGTAAATAGAGAGAGAGAGACAATGTATGGATTTGATGGGTACTGGAATAATAGTACTGGAAAAAACATTTAAAACACATAAAACTGCAATTTTTGCTAGCATAGTGATACAAAGAAGTCACATCCCTATGTGCCTATGTCATTCTTCAAGTTTCTAACATAGATTTGCTCTGAGTTACCCAGAGCAAGAGGATGGCACTCCTCACAATCACTTTTTAAGCTGATGAAGGAAAGAAAATTTCTGTACAGTCCCTCAAATTGCTTTCATATTGACCTACAAAAATAGATAAGTACATGAGCTGCATGTGTCTTCTAAAATGACCAGCAATGTTAGAATGCTGACATCTGAATCGTCACTCTAACATTTGAGAATAATTACTCCAGGGAATTGAACAAATAACTTTTAAACTTTCTTTGAATGCTTGGTTCCATTTGCAGACTCTAAAAAATCCCTTCAGAAAACCAAATTTTACTGTTATGAGAAGTAGCCTTAAGCTGTGTGTCAATGCCACCCATTGAACAGCAGTAAAATGGAAAGAGACTGATTGCTTCCCTTACCAAACAAGGTCAGGAAAAAATGACAATTATCAGTACTTCTTTTGTATTAGACAATCCTTGGTAAAACATCCATATTATGCCTGTACGCCAATTTGCAGTGAAGACTTTGTACAAGGATGCTTAGATCTGGTAGGTGTGGTGTATCCTGTGGTGATGACTGTGGTTGTCCCGTACTTTTATATATTCATGTAGTTCCATATGTTCAATCCAGTTTCATGGGGACACTATGGGCTGAAATTTGTAACAGTTTTGAGAATACTGCTCTGATCTCAGACCCTTTTTTTTTTCCACTCATCAGCTAAACTATCAGAGGTTAAGGTATTCATGGTCAGGAGGATTAGAAGGGAGAGGAAATCAGATAAACAGAGTTTTCTGTATCACTGTTGCTAGTCATATTTCATTCCACTGAGATGAATCAATATTGCAGCTTGCACAGCTGAGATATCTAGTTCTGCAACAAGATTAAAATAGCTACAGTACAGAATGTTTTACTCATTTCAAAGCTTCAAATTATTATACAGTTAAATTACACAAATTCCTTAGTTCTTTTTTATCTAAAGAGTTGGGCAGTTTATAACTAGATGAAAAGAAATGATAAGACTTCTAAAAAGAAAAGACTCTTCCTCCAAAGTATATTTTTAATACAGAAAAATGCACAACTTAATATTATAGTCCCGTATTCTTTATTTTAACTTTATTCTTCTAA